ATTTGGAGAGGAAACTTTCTTTAGAATTAAAGTACCCCAAAAATACTGGAAGGGATGTGCAATTTTGCACACGTTTTATTCTTCCGCTCTTTCTGGTCAATGTGGTTATATTGCTTGAATATTAGACACTGTATCTTTAAAAATACCAGTGTCAATATTGACAGAAATTATTTGATGCATAAATGTGGTGTTTTGTCAGTCTTCTAATTTCTTAGGTTGCTATTTTAATTCCATACTGTTCAACTTTGGAAACCACGTTAATTTCCATGTGCCAGTATGAAAATATTAGCAATAGATGTGGGACTTAATGTGTTGAAGGTCTTTTCTGGAAAGCCACATTAATATAATAAGCAAAAAATGTATATTTTTATCTTTAGGACAATACTGTTAAAATATGTTTACATGGTTGCTCAGGCCACTGTCATGGGTCTACTCCTGCTCATGAATGAACAAAATTCACCATAAAGTGGAGGTCCGTTTTGTATTTCACGTAAGGAGTTGAAACCACTGTCTTTACTCCACTAGCAGTTTTTTATGGAATGTTTTTTCTCAAGTTCAGGCCAGTCTCCTTGCTGATCCGTATGCCTGGAGCACTCCCTCAACATTTGCCTGGCTAAATTATCATACTCTTCCTTCTGATCTCTGCTTGGACTTCATTTCATCTAGTGAGACATGTGTCTATCTGTTTACCTTTGTGGCTCTAGTGTAATTCATGCATATAATAAATACATAAATTGATTGCATAACAGATGTTCTCATCTACAATGGGTGACATGCTTTAATAGCTAACACATAGTGCCAACTAAGTGCCAAGCGCTGTGTTCATTCATTTAATCCATTACAATAATATGTGATATGTGTACTGTTATTATTCCCATTTTACAGATGAGGAAACTGAGGCTTAGAGAGATGATGACTTGCACATTGTTACATAGCTGGCAGGTGACAGAGCTGAGATGCTTAACGGGGAGGCTGGCCCCAGTCTGTGCTGTGTATGGCTGAACTCTGTCAACTTCTATTAACCATAAGAGTTACATCTAATAGGCTAACAGGACTAACTTGAAACCTACTGTTGCCCCCCCAAAAAAACTTGGCCAGTTTTATTTTCAATAGTAATTTTGATGGTGAATAATTGATCCAAAAATACTTGTTTTAGGATTGCCCCAGATTTTAAACTTAAGCGGTTAAAGACTGGCTGGCTCACTATTATTCAAAGCCTTTTACTATACTTCTNGGTTCCTTTTAGGGAGGTTGAGTTTTAATTATGAGAATTCTTCTAAGCCTCTTGGATTCACTGCCTGTCTTGCAGCAGTGCTGCCTGTTTCATCTTTGGTCTTCCTCCCGCCCCCTCAAAATTAGGATCTGGATCGGTTTCTTTATTTTATACTATACTGGGGAACCCTCTAACCAGACGAACCATATTTTTTGACATTGTGGGAAAGTTTTCTTTTTAGATGTAAACATTCTATTTTTTATTTCTTTCTCTTGGTCTGCATGTAGTTATTTTGTTGCTGAGTTGTGTTTTTTTTTTTTAAAGTGGTGTGCTAATGTCTGTTTATCCTTTGTGTCAGTCAGAGATGATAAGATGACTTCAGTAAGTTTAATTCTGTTATGTTCCATTTCTTTAAATGTCCCAATTTAAACGAGCCATAGACAATTGTGATTGATGCTCTTAACAGAATCATCTTTTCAGAATGTGGTATGGCGATTTTATATCTGACTGCATCAGCAATTTGTCACACCACCAAGGAATTCTATGGTTTGTTTAAAAAATGTGCTCTAATGCCACTAGCACATTCACATTAAGTAGTCTTCTCAGTGTCTGTGTGCTCTGAACTAAGTTGTTATAAATAAGTGAGAAAAGAAGGTGTGTGTGTGTGAGTGTGTGAGTGTGAGTGTGAGTGTGTGTGTGTGTGTGTGTGTGTGTGTGTGTGTGTGTGTGAGAGAGAGAGAGAGAGAGAGATCATTACTTTAAATCAGGTCTGCATAGGAGAAGCTATGTACCAGTTTTCCAAAGAAGTTAAAACATAAATTACTTACATAATATATGAGTAAGACATTTGTAATGTAACTCTTAAAAGCTTATTTTTGATTGCGTGTAGAACCTAAAATAAAGCTTAAAATGAGTAAGTGGACAATAATAATGCGACTATTTATATTGTACTATTAAATGCCATTCATTTTTCTAAGAACTTTGCAAGTATTAGGTGATTTAGTTCTCACGACAGCCCTAGAAGATCGGTGATATTATTATCATTCCCATTTCCCAGGTGAGGAAATTGTGGCACAGAAATGAAAGCATTTGCCCATAGACATGGTGCTACCAAGTGTAGGAGCTAGACATCAACCCCGGGTTGTTCAATTCAACTGCTGTGCTTAATGCCTCTATAGTGATTTCAGTGTCATCGAATGTATTTAGTTGCAGCTACTGAACTATAATTTTAAATCGTATTACATGATCTGAATAATATAGATAGGCAAATTGGAAGACAATTTTCTTTTTTGTAAAAGAGAAATATTAAATGTATAAATATTTAACTTTTCTGACAATTTTGCCAGAGTTAATTACAAATTGAATTTATGATTTCATCACTGTGCAGTATAGCTTGAATTGAAAGAATTACTTTTAGAGGGAATTTTGGCATTTTGGAGTTACGTAATAGTAGCCAACAATTAAATTAAAACATTGGACTTACAGGGTTTGGGTTTATTTGTTTTTCCTAAAACATTGTTTTGTAGATTTCAGAATTCCTTAACTATAATATACAGCTTTGTTATCAGTGCAAAGGAACAATATGAGAAACTTTCCAAGTTACATGAAAACATGGAAAAGCTGTATCACAGCGTAATGGGGTACTATGCCATTGATGTGAAGAAGGTTTCCGTGGAGGAGTTTTTGACAGACTTGAGTAACTTCAGAACCACATTCATGGTACGTTAAAAACTTTACTTTTTTATTTTTATTTTTTTCCAGTATCTGTATCTATACTGTCTCATCTGGTTATTACTTTCACTCCATGACTTCATTCCACTCCTGTTGCCTGAAGTAAAACCTACCTTTGCTGATGTTGAAAGTTAGCTTGCAAAATTTCAGATTTTAAATCTATTGAAAAATGTATGGTTTGTTCTCTTTTTGGCCTTCCCAACGTTAAGCTATAATCAGAAATTTTGATTGAAAAAGTGACAGATTTTGAAGTTTTTCATAAAGACTTCCCTCCTGGCTGATTACAGAGCACTCCTGTCATAAGTTTGGGGCTATGAATTTGTTTCTTTATACTTAAGATCAGCTTGTATTTTGGGGTATAATTTTACCAAATTCTGTGGAGCTCTTAGGAAGCTTTCTTTCCTTTCCTTTTCTTAATGCATTGTACAATAAGCTACCTGCGATTTGCCTTTGAATGGATTTTACATTCCTGTGGTTTCCTTTAGGTACTTTAATAGGGAGGTCAGGTCTTTGATGTGGAATCCTTTCATTTAGGCATTAAAAAGGTCTTTTGAAAAATATTAGCTGATGAGATGGGAGAAAAAAAAACCACACACATATTAAAGTGAGAAAGCATTGTTGCCTCCCCAGGAAACTGGTGATACATTTCTACAATGAAAAATTATGTTATTCTTAGTAGATGGGTAAGTCATTTCTGTATTTCAGCAGATGTTTGTGGGGATTAAAAAGTTTTTGAAGTATAAAGGAAAAAATGGTTGAATTTCAAGGGCTGTTTTTCTTTCTTTTTTAAACCTCAGGACAACTTTATTGCTGAATATTTGGACTTGGTTATAATCACTTGGTTATGATTAGATAGCCTTTTAATAAAAAGTCAATATTTTAAAGGAAAACTAGTTTACAGTGAATACACATTTTGCTCACAGCTCTAGTTTATTTCCTCCCCAAATTCAAAGTGGTTCTTTTAATTATGTTTCCAGACCAGAATTTGATTATTAAATATATTTATTATGTGCCTATGTGTGTAACATGTTGAGTAATATTGCAATGTGTATAATGTGTTATGAGGCAACATGGCTCAGTGGAAGTAGCGAAGGCTTTGCAGTCTGAAAGAGCTAGGTCTGGGTTCCACACTAGTGATGTGACTATGAACACTACTTAACGTGCCTCAGCCTCGGTTTCCATATTTGTAAAAAGGGATGTCAATTCCTTTCTCATAAGAGTGCTTAAATACTAAAGGATGTAATATATGTTAAGTATTAACACTTTTGGCTCATGGCTGTTATGTGCCAAAATAATTACTTTGTCGTAAAGGGTTAACTCAGCAAGCGTGAGGTACTGGCCTTTGACTGGCTCCTGGGAGATTACCTGTAAGCCTGGAAATACTGCCAGATAAGGGTGTCTTTGTATACCTGGGGCCTTGGGCCAAGCTATTGTAGGTAGCTTATGCTAAAAATGTGATTCATGGTAAAGACCTGTTTGTTCACCTGGGGGCCTGTACCACACTGTCAGCTCATCCTCTGCCAGGGGCTGGAGACCCAGTAGCTACGATCATTCATGCGGGAGGTCCATGCCTACGTGGCTGACCTCCCCAACAAAAACTCTTGACACCGAGGCTTGGGCATGCCGCACTGGTTGGCATTGCTTCGTATGTGTGGTCACATGTCATTGCTGGAATAATCAAACTCCATTGAGAGAGGGCAATTATGATTTTAATCTGCATCCTTTTGCTGTAGTCAACTGTCACAGTGAGTAAAACATCTTTTCTGAGTTATTTGAGTCCTTCCAACAAATTACCAAACTTGAGGGTGGTCTTGGGGACCCCTGACACAGTTATACATAAAAGTATAGAATGCATAATGATATAATACCCATTATTTATTGAGTATTTTCTGTGAACCAAACATTTTTAATCTTCACAATCTACATATTTTACTGTTACCATCTCTTTGTGGCAAATCAAGAAACTGAGGCACATTGATGGAGCATATCCAGCTCCGGGTCACATAGGGAACAATGGTGAAACTAGGATTTGAACCTGTGCCGTCTTCCTCCGGAGCCTGTGCCCTTACATACCAGGTCACTGCCACCCACTTTCTGTAACTTGTGTCCCATTTTACAAATAAGAATGCTGGCATTTCCTAGTGAGAACAAGTACATATTGTTTGTAAGTGGCCAAATTGGGACTTGAATCCAGGTCGAATTCCAAATCTCCCTGAAATCTGGTAGGATTAGAGGGTATGGGGCCTTCTGGGG